CTTATCACTATTATGTAATAAGTGTACTTTGGTTGCTTTGACTACTCTTTTGTAGTCTCACTCTCTATTACGCTCTGAATAATTGTAGTGGGTTCAACCCACAAATTGCGCACTCTTTCACTGTTTAGTTCTAATCAGTTTTAATTTTATTCACTTTTTGCATCACTTACCCTTATGGTTACGTCACCTCACGGTGATGGCCAGCATGCTTCGACCTTTCCAGGTTGGGGTGTGTCATATAAACATGGTTACATTCATCAAAATTAACGAAAAAATTATACCAAAACATGGGTACATTCTTCAAAATTACATAAAAATAATACATATAAAGTTTAATAATATTAGTATATTTCTTCTATTAAACTTGACATTGATACATTCTCAAATCAACTAAAAAGAATGTACCCATATAAGTTTGAAAAATGGTTTATAAAAAAATTGAATGGATATTTTAATAAAATTTGAGTACATTTTATATTGAAAAATGGCACTTTTTTTTTTGAACAAACGATATTATCTATACTAAGGGGAGAGTGTGGGTTTAGCTTCATAATGAGCTAGCAATAATGTGGTTCAAATTCGCCTTTGGCAAGAATCGAACCTAAGACCTCTCACTTCCAAGTGAAGAGGAATAACACTAGACCGTAGTACTAAGTGGCTGCGTATTTAAATGGGTACGTTAAGATTAAAAGTATTGAAAATTATATGAATGGGTACGTTCAAGAATAAAAATTTGAAAACATTTTTGTAAAAAATTAATGAGTATAAATTATTTTAATTTTTTTATTGTGGAAATGTTTTGAAATAAAAATTAATTGGAGTTTTATATATAGAGACAAAAATATATAAACAACTAAAGTCCAACCCAAAAACATGGAAACAACGTTTTAAAATACCAGTCATACCCTTAAGGTTTTAGAGTTATTAATAAACTTATTCTTCACAACTCCAACAAAATTAATATGTGACATAAGCTAAACCCATCATCGACCATTTTTGCAGAATCAGTTCAACCTGTCCTCGACTATTTATGCAGAATTAGTTAAACCCGTCTTCGATCATTTTTGCAGAATCAGTTCAACCCGCCCTCGACCATTTTTGCAGAACCAGTTCAACCGGTCCTCAACCATTTATGCAGAATCAGTTCAAACTGTCATCAATTATTTTTGCAGAATCAGTTCAACCCTTCCTCGATCATTTATGGAGAATCAGTTTAACCCGTTCTCGACCATTTTTGCATAATCAATTCAACCTATCTTCAACCATTTTTGTAGAATCAGTTCAACTTGTCCTCGACCATTTATGTAGAATTAGTTCAACCCGTCCTTGATCATTTATGTAGAATCAGTTCAACCCGTCATCGATTATTTTTATAGAATCAGTTCAACCCGTTAAACTCATCCTCAACCATTTCTGTAGAATTAGTTCAACCTGTTTTCGATCATTTTTTGCAAAATCGGTTCAATCTATCCTCGATCATTTTTGCAGAATCAGTTTCAAATAATTTGACCCTAGTAAAAGTTAACTCAATAACACAGTTGTTCTAATTTAGGTAAATAGTGAACAAAGTGAGATCCTTAAATCTAAAGTCTCGTTCCATCATAAAAACCTTACAAAAAGAACACTAAATGCCATCTTAATTTTTCCAGTACTGTGAACAACAAAAATGAACAGGAGGAAAATACAAAAATCAGTCATTTTTCCATTAAGTTGTAAAAAAATAATAATATTGTTTGGTTTGTTTTACTAGGTCAGAGTCGGTGACAAAGAAATGTACTTAAATGAGCTTGAAATATTCATACGCATAGATACTTCGCATCCATTTAGGGACAAAATCATTTCAATTTTTTTCATTTTTCATATTCTAATTGGCATAGCAATATAGGATTACACTTGAATACAAGGCCAGTGACCTTGGAGACGATGGTGATCTCGCTCTCATGCAAATTGGAATCCTATATTGCTATGCAAATTGGAATCTGATAGTAATTTCCTATATTGCTATGCAAATGTTAATCTCGCGCTCATGCTTGAAGGTGATAGTAATTTCCAGATCAGTTTTCACTGAAGCTTGTTCGTTAAACTTTCTCTCTGTAATCGAACAAACAACAACGATTTGTCAACAAAAAACTCCATGATTAAGAGAAAATCAACTAAAAATTTAAAAATTTCATATCAAAACCTGCGGTGAGTGTTTGGATCAAAACTTAAACTTTGGGCTCGGGGGAAGTTGGCCCAAAGAGCAGCCTAAAAGGAAGAAGCCCAATCAAGGCCAGTCAAAACCCAGCCGAAGTCCAGAAGACAGGAGAAGCCCGTTTCTGACTAGGTGCAGGCCATGTAGACTACTTGCTCACCTACCCAATGGCCAAGTGGTATAGACTAGCCAGCTAATCAGCCCAAAAAGTACTTTTAAATGGCAATACAAGTAAATAGCTGATGAATCACTATCCTTCAAACTACATTTGGGCAAGATTATTGCTACAGGAGGCCAAGCCAAGGTGTTTATAAAAGGAGAGAGAGAAGTCAGAATCAAGGACACTCAAACAAACAAACAAAAGCACAAACTCTGCTCAAAGCCAGATTTGCCTTCAAAACGAAGCTGTAGTCAGCCCAAGCCTCTATCCCTTTCGGGATAAACCCTTTGTAATAGCTCTGCTGCCATGTTCAACTCTTGCTGTAGTATCGATTTTCTTTCTGCAAACTCATTTCCCAACCCCTTTTCTAAGCTTTCAAAACCTTCAGTTAACCCACAAAGATAGGAAGTTGCAAGATGATCAGCCTTGCCCGACAAGGTTAAACCTTGCCTGACCTTCTTTGTTTTTGTCTTTTCATTCATTAGCCTAGCAATATGTTGTATACTTCAAGTTGTATCCAAGTTATTTCTAGTAATATGGCTATTAAAAGAGACTCTCAGCGCTTGAATCCGATTTGAATATGTCTTCACAGTTCAAGCCAGATCTAAGTTCTAAGCCTTCGGGCATATAAGATTTGATCACCCTAAAAAGTCCTTGGCCTCAAGGCATAAAAAAGAACCTGATGTGGACTTAACCCATCCACTACAAGCTTTGATAACAAGAAGTCTGAAGTTACTTGGGGCGCAAGTAATTGACCTGTCACTTAGTTTTATTGCTGTTATATTATGATTACCATATAACGTTTGGGGACGGGATGAATTCTGATGGGAAGCCTCAAGGCCTATTCAAGGCCCCACAAAGGCACCTATTTGGATTCATCCTATTTCTCGGGCAAGAACGTTCGGGTACAGGATAAATTCTAATGGGAAGCCTCAAGGCCTATTCAAGGCCCCACAAAGGCACCTATTTGGATTCATCCTATTTCTCGAGCAAGAACATTGAGTATAGAAGGAGTTCTGATGGGAAGTCTCAAGGCCTATTCAAGGCCCCACAAAGGCACATATTTGGATTCATTCTGCTCTTTGAGTTCAGGTAATCAGAAGTATGATGGTTATAAGACTCATATAACCAAGAAAATGAACCTTATGTGTTCGAGTACTAAGTTAGTTATTGATGGGAAGCCTCAAGGCCTACACCTAAGGCCCCACAAAGGCACCTGTCAATAACTAACATAATCTCTCGAATACATATAATTAAACTCAAACATCCGTTCTACATTTGCTATGTTGAAGATGGCAGTGGAACGCTTGAGCACTTAAAAGTTAATCTTGATCGTGAGCCTCAAGGCCTACACCTAAGGCCTCACAAATGCACCTTTCAAAGCTAACTCTATCATTCTCTTTCAGCCTTGCCCGACAAGCCTGCCAGTAAAGCAGAAGCCCGACAGAAAGCATCAACCGGCGCCAACCTCTCGGGGAGCTGTGTGCTCGTCGGCCAGGAAGCATTCCCCACAGAAATTCCCGCCACGAACAGTGAGCTTCAAAATCGCGAAGCTTACCGTAACGATCAAATTGGGAGCGCGTGAAGAGTAGGATAAAGTCTTTGGAGTTCTTGAAACCGATTGGGAGAGGGACTTGAGTTAATTTGGAGAGATGACGGTGAGGATGAAAGAATTGAGGTTGAGATGGCAATGAAGGAAAATCAAGTCAATTTTTTGAAGAGAGAGAAATAAGGGAGCAAGAGATGAATTGAGATAGAAGTGTGAAAAGATTTTACCACTATAAAAGGGTATTTTCGTAAGTTAAACTCCACATAAAAAAAGCCAATAATGTTATCTTCCACATTTAATAACTTTTATCTCTTCTTGAAATGTTTAAAAATTGTTGTCTCAATATATAATTAAGTATTAAAAGTATACCCTATGTGTAATTTTTTCAAAATTAATTAGGAATTTAATTAAGGTGTAAATATTAAAATCCTAAATCAATTATTAATTCTTAAAAAATTTATGTAACTAACGTTTAAATTCTTTAATACGTTAATGTTATAGGGACTTCAATCAAAATCTAAAAACTAATAAGACCTGAGTCAATAAACATTATTAGTTAGGAACCTGATACTAATTTTTCCCTTTTATCTTGTGAATGGTGTTTTTGTAATGGGTGCGTTTGTGGGTGGGGAGATTAGGAGTTGAATCAGTCCTAGTTGGAAGTTGAGTATTATGAGGAGACAATTGATGCGGTACTGGTTCATTTGTTTCATGCCCGAACCCGCGTAATAAGTTGTTGGTGTTTGTAGTACTACTTATCCCACAAAGTCAAGTGAAAAAGCTACCGCCCATATCCCAAAGTCAGTTGCTAATCCTAATTCCATGCATAATCTTAATTCAACAACTTTCCCATCAGTTGTATTCCATGCTAATTCAACATAGTACTACAGTCTGGTAGTATTTCTTCACTTATAAATGAGGGGTCTTAGGCTCAAATTTCGTGCATGGTGAATTCGATAGCAAATTAGGTTGCCCAATGTGTGGTTTAACCGAACTTCTCCTCCCCTTAGTATAAAATATATTGTTATACTAAAAACAAAAACAACTTTCCCTTAACACCCACATACGAATACAATAACAAACATGCAAATCACAAATAATAGATAGACGCCAACAACAGCACCATTGTTATTAATTAGCTCTCGGACAACACAAACAAATACACTTCATATATATTTCTTAGACTCTTTTATTTTTCTCTCTAGCCTAGGCCGTTTACTTTCAAGCATTTTATTACTTTCAAGCTTTCGAGATTCAACGCAAGTAAAGGGCCAAGAAGGACAAGACTGAAGCTCCGACTAAAGATCCAACGGCGTTCATATTGCTTCCATTAGGTACTGGAGCAGAAGCATCGGAGGTGGGCGTTGCAGCGGGACTGGCAGCTGGGGTGGCAGCTGCAGCCTTTAGAGGTGCAACGGCCATAGCTGCAGACATGCAAACAGCAACCACGAGGACAATCAAGGCAATCTTCTTCATGGCCATTTTGTGGGCGGCGTGTAGTCGGTCGATGATCGAAAACACGCCTTGCAATTGGAATGTTAAGAGGCTTGTAGAAGTTTGTAGATGTCCTGAGGAAGATAGGACGGCAGAGGGAGGTAAATATAGCTTTCTATGGACGAGGTTTTGTTATTTTAGGTATGAAATTGTTGGATTTTGTGTGAGGTTTGGAAGGGTTAGTACGTACGTGTATGATTTTGCATGAACAACGCCTACATGCATAGGTATAACAAACTAACAAATTAAGTAATGAATGTCAAGATTATAGGAGGATTTATGAACAATATTCATCCGTATTTTTGTATCATTGTATGTGAGGGTCATAGCATGAATATTTTAAGTCCATAGAAAAGTGCAAAGGAATTTAACAAACGATGATTAACAACTTAATAAGATGAAGGCTTTTTAGTCAAAATGGTCCCTGAGATTTGCATAACACATAATTTTGGTTCCTGAGATTTAAAATCAATAGAAGTGGTCCCTAAGATTGTCCACCATCCATTATTTTGGTCATTCCATTAAAAAACTCCATTAAGTTGAGGACATAACACATAACTTTGGTCTCTGAGATTTGCATAACATATAATTTTGGTCCCTGAGATTTGCATAACACATAACTTTGGTCTTTGAGATTGTCCACTATCAATCATTTTGGTCCTTCCATTAAAAAGCTAAGGGACCATTTAACGGAGTTTTTTAGTGGAATGACTAAAATAATGGATGGTGAACAATCTCAAAGACCACTTCTATTGATTTTAAATCTCAAGGACCAAAGTTATGTGTTATACAAATCTCAGGAACCATTTTGTCTAAAAAACCTAAGATGAATGATTGTGAGGAGGCAACTAAAGTGCATAATAATTGCTAAACTTGGTTACACAGACAATAAAAAATGCAAAGGGCGGAATAAATTCTTTTTTCACAGGGTGGAATAGCTTAAGGATTTAAATCTTGATATATGAGAGAAACTTCATATTTTTATCCTCTAAATTATGTAATAGTTTTGAACTCTTTCCGTCCCTTTAATAATAGTAATTTAAAAAAAATATATATATATATATATATATATATACATATATTTGTAAATTTCATTATGTAAGCTAGCGATGATTTTTTTGTTATGTAATTAGTCATGATGTAATTAGTGTAGAATTCTTAGTTAACAAAACCATGAATTTACAAAAAAAGTTTTGAAATGTCACATGAACTTGTACCCATTTTTCAATTTGTCATATAAACTAAAATTTTAAGCAATTTGTCATACAAACTTTCTGAAATCATCAATTTGTCATCTCACCTTAACTCTGTTGAGTTTTCCATAAAAAAATAAGTCATGTGTGAGGCACATGATCAGTGTTATTTCTGTCATTTTAACACCACACTTCCTTATATGAAGTTGCATTCGATCAAAACAATTCTAGTGTGTTTAGTTTAGTATGTCATGAAGTCAAATTTTATATGGGCCCTGTAATATGAGAAATGAGTTGAGGTTTGGTGATAGAAATGGAGTTGTAGATGCATATACATTGCTCAAACACAATGATCCGCTTGAATACCCTCGAAACACAAAATTTAAGAGTTTTGGTAAAGAAAAGTAAAGAACTGGTAAAAAGATCTTAAATGACAAAAATATCCTTGAACACAAGTCATGTGCCTCGCGCATGACTTATTTTGCATGTAAAACTTAACGAAGTTAGGGTGAGATGACAAATTGATGATTTCAGAAAGTTGGTATGACAAATAGATCGAGATCATTAGGGTCGATCGTAGAAGCAAAATAATAACATTCGGGTTAATATTAGCTTGAATTTTTTGCTTCGGGCTAAATGATAATAAAATTATAGCTTGATAAGTGTTAACCAATAACGTCCCAAAAATTATAGGAGCATGGTTATGAAGTGGGGATGCCAAATACATGGCATTGGGTTCAAAAAAATCACAGCTAAGCATTATGGGCTAGCTGCCGTGTACGGGGATAAGGCCACGGGGAAGGGTGCAGGGCAGCCCAAATCATGGTTGTAGGCCACAGGCCGTGGGTTTAGGATAGGCCCAGCAGCAAAGCTGCTGTTTTTTTTTTTTTTTTAGGCCAGTTTGGCGTGAGGGAGCACAGGCCCAATAAAAAAGCTGGTCTGGATGGGTGCACACAAAGCCCAGCCAAGGGCTAGCTTCAATTTAGGCCGGTTCTAGGCGAGCCCAGCAAGCAAAGCTTGTTGCAGGCAGGCGGGATCCATGCAGGCAAAGCCCATCAAGCCTAAGCTTGTTGCAGGCAGGCGGGATCCATGCGGGCAAAGCCCATCAAGCCTAAGCTTGTAGCAGGCATGGTGGGTCGAGGCAGGGTAAAGCCTAGCAAAATTTTGAGGGCTTGCTGATGGACTTATTAGGGCTTCAATCCCGTTTGGAAACCAACTTAGATTGAGGCCTGGTGCTGTGCAGGGAGTCGAAACATCGTCGTCCTAGCTGCGACGTGGCTACAAGCCAGCCAGCTCGGCTTGGCGAACGGCGTGGAGCCATGACTCAACCACGAAAATATCCCAAATTTCCCTTTTTTTTCAAATTCTATGGTTAAAAACCCTACTTGCTTCTAAATTAATTTCGATGCTTTGACTCAAATTCCACATAGCATATTTGCATATTGCATGAACAAATATATATATTGACAAAATGTATGAACACATATCCAATATATATACAAGATTCTAAAAAATGCTAGGCGCTAGTCGGGCGGCGGGCTGGCGCCTAACGCTTAGGCGGCTAGGAGGGGTCTAGGCGGATTTATTTAATTTTCTTGTATATCTTGTAAATAAGTGCATATTCACACTTAAAAAAAAAAATTATACTTGTATGAAATCCATGGATAAGATAAACAAAAAATGATAAAATGCAAAAAGAGTATCCAACAAGTTCACAATTTTAAACCACTTAGACTTAGATAGGATTTTTTTATTTTATTTTTTAATTTCATTAAAAAAAAAAAACCGCCCGCCTAGCCTTGCCTAGCCCCTCCTAGCCCGCCTAGCCCGCCTAGGCGGCCTACTAGAGCTGATTCGATTTTTCCAACTGATTTGCAAGAAAACGCCTCGGCTCACCACCGCCTAGGCCGTTTTTTGGAACAGTATGTGTGTGTATATATATATATATATATATAATTGAAAGGAAAATATAAATATAGGGGGTTCATGAATCATGGGAAATGTTTTCATGCTTCAAGGTCGTTTCAAATATCTTAATTTATTTTAAAAGAACTTGATTGGCAGAAAACAACTAAGCCTTTGAATTTCTAGAAGATCCTTATCTGAAAACTGGAATTGCATCTCCAATGCATTGTATCATGTTCAACAAAGAAAAATTAGATTGAGTCAATGGCAAGTAGATGAATTCAATAAAATGATAAATTAATCATAAAAAGAATGATTAAAATGTAATACTCCCCTGATTGAAGATCAAACTCTCTTTAGTGCAACGTCGAAAACGTGTTGACAACGTATTGACAACGTATTGTAAGCCTAATTTACTGAATCATATAAAGAACATAGGGAGTGGGGGTGCAGCAACATTAGAGAGAAAGAGAGAAATGTGTAATTGTGAGGTGTGTGTTGTATCTCCCCATTGTGCCTTTATTTATAGTAGTAGGGAAGGTAAATTCCTTATCCCAATAGGATTACAATTCTAATGTGATAATATCTAGTCTAAAGATATGGTAGAGTCCCACAAGGATATCTCATATATGATAGGATTTACATGATCACATTCCTAATCTAATAGGACTGCAACATGTTACAATATATTAATAATTATGTGGGTACATTATTTATTTGCTTGAACTATGTGAAGAACAATATTACCCTATTATTGATTTTTAAGTAATTGTTATATTGTAAAAATATTACTCTAATCTAATAGGATTGCAACATATTACAATATATTAATAATTATGTGGGTACATTATTTTTTTGCTTGATACATTATGTTTTTGCTTAAACTATGTGAAGAACAATATTACTCTATTATTGATTTTTAAGTAATTGTTATATTGTAAAAATATTATTTAAATTTGTTTAAATTTCATAATTTTATGGGATATTGAATGCATAAGTGGAGTTAAATCCCTTAAATAAATGATGTTAGGGACTTCGATCAAACTATTTAAACACACAAGATTTTATTATAACAATTAAGTTGATTAGGAACCAAAATCAAAGGGATCCCCTTGACAAATCTACATGTACCAATCGTATTACCAAAGTACATGAACCTCACAAAATATTGATGATTCTGGATCATGAAACGCACACGTTGATCGATGACTCTAGATTGGGGTTATCGCATTTACATTTGCATATATTTATTTAAAATTATTGTCAAAGGTGATATAGCGTTGGTATTGTATTTGACTGTCACGTTTGTCGTTCTGCTAATTGCATGCACATTAATTAGCCAAACAAGTTTAATTCCTTTCAATTTGAGGAACCTCCAGTTTTCTTCAAAAAGAAATATAGTCAATGTTTCTAGTTATTTCAAACTCATTCTCAATTGTTTTACAATTTTATTTAAACCAACCTAATCTTATGATCATATTCCAACTTTCTTTTTAATTGAAAATACAAATTAGTATGCATATAACTTTACTGTTATTAAGTTACTAATTGATTTATGTAGGGAAGCTCAAGTTAGGTTGAAATACTATGCCTTTTATTTGCAGATGGGAACAGAATATTATTTCATTTTCTGCATATGAATAGAGATTCGAGACCAAATGCCGGTGTCGTTGTTCAAAGGTAACAAGGATCGGCCAACAAACAAATTTCAACTAATTTTGATTTTAGGGCTAGTGGTACACCCTCTGAATAGAAATAAGATTACACTAAGGGCTGATTTGGAGTTGTCTAAATTTTTTAAAAAGCAGCTTTTTGAAAAGTAGGAGAATAATTGTATTTGATAAATAAAAGAAAAAGTGCTTATTTTCAAAATCATGGGTAAAAAACCTCATAAAACAGAAGTAGGTAAAACCATGCTTATAAAAAGAGTGTTTTTTTCGCCACTTAGTACTACGGTTTAGTGATTTTTCTCTTCACTTGTAAGTGAGAAGTCT